GGTGGTGTGTACACAGAGGTCGAATTCAGAAAAAGGTACAATGATTTCAGGAGAACATTTCCTCAAGCCGCTGAGTATCTAGATGAGAGTGTTCATGAGACCAAATGGGCAAGATGTCAATTTCCAGGAGAAAGGTACAATATAGATACAACCAACACTGTTGAATCTATCAATGGTGTTTTAAAGGAACCAAAGAGATATTCGTTGTTGCCAATGTTTGATGTGATCATTGGGAAGATGATAGAATGGTTTAACAAATACCGTCATTTATCTTTACGCGTACCAGAGAGGCAAATACTAGTCCCTCATGTGCATGGGACATTGTATCACAGTTTTCCGAAGACAAAAAAGCTCACGGTGGTGGAGCTAAACAGATATGAACGCCAGTACACTGTGATTGGAAAGGACGGTCAAGGTTATTTTGTTGACTTAGGCAACGGAACATGCCAGTGCAGGTGTTTTGATATTGATCGGTATCCTTGTGTGCATGCACAGGCTGCGATCATCGCGCGTGGAGAAATGTCTGAACAATATTGTTCTAAATATTATATGGAGCAGTGGACTTTGGCATATTACAAGACAATATATCCAGTGCCTCATAATTCATCATGGGAAAGTTATGAAATTCCAGAGGAAATCCAATCTCAGGTTGACTACCCTCCGGATGTGGAAAGAAACAAAGGAAGACTACAAGAAACTAGATTTCCATCAGCTGGGGAATATCGGAGGAAGAAAAAGAAGAAGTATCCACCATTGGTGTGTGATAATGATGGAATTAACAGCGATGAAAGTGGAAGCGATGGAAGTAGCAGCGATGGAAGTGAGAACAATGAATGAGCCTTGATTATGTTATTATGTATGTGTTATTAAACTTATTTATGTGTTCTAGAACTTAATTACGTGTTGTGAACTTATTTATGTAATGTATTGCAGGTAGTACTTCGCATAATACAACAATCATGCTTCTGTGTTGTAATACTGGTATTACTGATATAACTATGTATCGTCTTACTAGTGTAACGAGTACAACTACGTAATTTATATCATGGAGAATATACTAGTACAACTGGTACAACTATGTAGATTCTAAAATTTAAATATTCTACTAGCTATTGGATATGAAAAAAGACAATCATTTGGTCAGACTGATAAGTTTTTAGATAAGTTTATTTTGATATGTAATGATTTAAATATATATATATATATATATAACACAATCATATAAGTTTGCATGATTTACTTTATACTTTTAAGGTTTGTTAACTTATTTGTCCTCATATTTTTGGGAAAACATACATCGAGTGTGTTTTAACAAAATTGATGATTTCATTTTATTGGGGCAAAGACATGTGCATATGTAGAAGTAATACAACTGAGACAAGTTTAACTTTTATGTGGTACAACTAATGTTTTCGATTTCAAGGTAAAAGTACAACTATGTATAAACTGGTATTACTGATATAACTAGAACAACTATGTATAAACCAATATAACTAAAAAACTAGTACAACTATGTATAAATTGGTTGTATTGTCTGTAAAGTGCATCACGTTTTAATTGTGTTTCAGAAAATGAATTTGAACACTAGTTATACTAGTTGTACTTGTTTTTTTTCTATTTTTTGGTGTAGTTGATGTTGTTTTATTAGTTGTTCCATTTTTTCTCTCTAAATGCAATCTGTTTGACATAAATAACATAATTCAACCACCAAATCAGTTTTAAAATACACACATACATAGGTTTTAACAAGCACAAGTCATAAGATTTAAAAAACATAAGTCATAAGTTCTAACTTCAAATTAAACATAAGTCACAAGTTTTAATAGAAGCATAAGTTTAAGTGTTCAAAGCTATTCCAAATAGCTATCACTTTGGCTGATATGGAGACCTGAGTGGACGAGAAGGTTTATGTGACCTCTTCGGCCTTGTCTCCTCCACATAACCAACCTTATCAGTAGCAGCCAACTCAGCAGCAGCCAACTCAGCAGCAATCTTCTCAGCAACTTCTTTCTCGAGTTTCTCAACATCTTCTGTCATCACGTCAAGTGTAGATGGTGACTCCTCTGCATCATCATCTACAATATAAAACAAAGAATTAAATTATGTCTTAAGGAGATTTCATATACAACAGATCCTTACCTTCTATCATTTTATTAGCCTTTGTCTCACCCTCCTTCTCACCTATCTCACTCTCCTTCTCACCTTCTTCACTCTCTTTATCAGCTTCTGTCTCAGCTTGCTTCTCACCTTCCTCGCCATCCTTATCAGCCTCTGTCTCACCCTCCTTCTCACCTATCTCACCATCTTTGGATGCCTCTATCTCACTCTCTTTCTCACCTTCTTCACTCTCTTTATCAGCTTCTGTCTCAGTTTGCTTCTCACCTTCCTCGCCATCCTTATCAGCCTCTGTCTCGCCTTCCTTCTCACATATCTCACCATATTTGGCAGCCTCTATCTCACTCTCCTTCTCACCTTCTTCACTCTCTATACCAGCTTCTGTCTCAGCTTGCTTCTCACATTCCTCTCCATCCTTATTAGCCTCTGTCTCGCCTTCCTTCTCACCATCTTTGGCAGTCTCTGTCTCGCCCTCCTTCTCAGCCTCTACAACAACAACAAAATTACAACAAAACCAGCACACAACACAAAATTAATATCACAAAGTAAATCTAAACAGATTTCACATCAATTAAAAAACCAGCACCTGCAGTGTCTTTATCTGCATCAAGTCCTATCTCGGTAGCAAGATGATTGTCTACATCAACAATGTCTAAATGTGCATCAATTGGATCTTTTCTGCATTAGCTGAATCCTTTTCTGCATTACTTAATACCCAAAAACATTTACTTCATGCATTAACTGAATTTTCCTGCATCGCCTTAAAAACAAAAACTAATTTCAAAATCAATTATCTCTTCCATTCCCTCCTGAAGCATAACCGGTTCCAGGTTCACCAAACTGGAATGACCAACTTTCTCGTTGAACTTATCTTGTTCCAACTCTTTTACTCTTGCTTCCGAAAGACGAATTGTTTCGTCTCTCTATGCAAATCCATCGTCCATTCTCTTGTTCAACCTCAACTCCAATTCTGTTACACTCTCACGACCTGCCACACCTTCTGCCTCGTCCCCTCCCTCACCCTCTGCCTCGCCCTCTGTCTCATCCTCTGTCTCGTGTTCCTGTTCTGTGGTAGGTCGGGTTCTCACATCCATCTCGAATAGATCCGGCCAGAAAATTTTACCTCCTGGTTGTATAAGGATGTTGTTCCAACTATCAACGGTTGCGTCTGGCTTATCTGAATCATCTATCAGCTCCACGTCTTCCCATGTTCCTTCATCCATGATTTCATACAAAAGATCTACTTCATATCCCTGTGGTTGTAAAATACTTGAAATCACCTGAAATATGACCAAATCACACATTTAATTAATTATGAACTTGAATACAATAACATAAACATAACTTAAAAAAATTAAAAGCTTTTACCGTTGTTTGTCCTAAAGTTTGATAAATCTCGTCCAATGCAAATCCTGTTGTCCCGGTCCTCTTGAACTTCCATTTGCATATTCTTGGACAACTATCAGAACAATCTGGAATAGGGTCTCTGAATCTTTCCCTAAGGACAGGGACACATTCAAATGCCAATATCTGCACATCATTTCACACAATCATATTAGTTATATTATAACAAATGTACTTATGAAAAATACAACTTCATATACCTCCAAAGGGTTGATAAACCCAGGAAATACCCACTGGGCCATATATGGGATCCCATCACAGAAACGATCTCTCACATGGAAAATCTCTTTCATGCAATCATCAAAAGTGTAACGGCCCCATGGAAACGTTTCGCAAAAATCCAGATCATCTACTGCTTGGAGAATGAAAGGGTCAATGAAGTATCCAAGTCTTGACCTTCCGTTTATAACTCTGGCCAAAAAGTAAAGAACCGCCATTTTTAGACGCTCATTACTACCATCATACTCCATCTTCAGAAGCTTCGCTCTGACATCCGCTTCTGTTACTCTCAAACCCATGTCCTTCTTCTTCGCAGTCTTCTTCTCTTTCTTCTTAAAATGCTTTGTTGCAAACTTCATTTTTCCTATGCTCGGATAGTTTTCTGGGTAAGCGTGGCAATGTAATCCAGACAAGAGGCAATGTTCCCTGATTGAGTATCTAATTGGAACACCATTTACCCTAAACCAAGCTTATCGTTCCTTTCCTGTATGCAAAGTACGAAGTAGCAACATCCACAATCCCATCACCTTTCTTTTTTCGGCACATTCCATGTGGAATAAATGCTTGAACTGAGGGTGATTTTTAAACCAATTCTTCTCTGAATCATCAAACTCTTTAATCGTCTTCAGAAAATCGTGTTGGTGGCACCTTGAAGAGAGCTTGCAACCCTTCTCATAGTCACTTGGCTTGAAGAAAAAGCCAACAGGTCTGTCAGCTTCTACAGCCGTATCGTCCCCCTCAACCTGAAAACACAAATAAAGTACACTGAATAACCAAGTTATGTAACACAAAATCACTTAGTTGTACTAGTTATACTAATTAAATTAAAAATAATATTATTAGTTATACCAGTCAGACTATGTACACGAAGCGTAGTTGTACCAGTTAGACAAATTGTACATCAATAAAACCATTTACTTTAACAATATTCACTTGTCCTAGTTTAACTAGTTATCTGTTTAAGCGTGGTCGCACTACTTATCTTAAATCTGTTTACAACAGTTACACATTTTTCACTCTTTTAGTTGTACTAGTTATACAATACTCAGTTATATTAGCTGTACTAGTTATACAATACTCAGCTGTATTAGTTAAACTAGTTATATTATTGATATTTGTACCACTTATATTACTTATAAAAAGCGTGGTCGTACTAGTTATACTAGTTATCCTAAATCTGCGTACAACATATTATTAGTTGTAATAGTTATACAATACTCAGTTGTATTAGTTAAACTATGATAAATATTCTTAAAACCATTTCAAATTGCCTTGTTTACCGTTCTTGGATCGTCATTGTCAATGGCAGAAGATCCAGTGGCAGCCTCAGGTGTGTTTGAATCTCTGTTGTTAGATCCAGCCTGCTCAAGTTCTTATTTGTTAGTTCAATTTTATCATAAAATTTTCAAAACCATTTTAAACTGATTTGTTTACCGTTTGTTGCGCTTCACTGTTAATGGCAGCCTCAAGTGAGCGTGACTCTCTGTTGTTAGAATTTATTGGAGCTTGCCGTGGATTCTCCGCCTCATTGGGTGTTTGAGTAGGTGATTTTTGTGGCTGAACCGAAAGTGATGGACTTGATCGGGATTTCGCTGATGCTGTCCGACTCCGCTTGATTGGATTCGACGAGAACCCACCATCTACACCAGTGTCTCGCTTCTGCTTTCTCTTTTTCACAGCTTCTCTTCTTTTTTTACAGCTTTTTTTTTTTTCACCGCTGCTTCTTTTCTTTTTAGGGCTGAGGCCTTCTTCCTTTCCGCCAAAGCTTTCCTCTTCTCCGCCGTAGCTTTTTTCTTCTCCACCACTGATTCTTTTTTCTTTTCTGACGCACCATCCTTGCTTGTATTTCCGGCGGATCGAGTCTTTGGAGCCATAGATGAGATTCAAGGTTTGTTGTTGCAAAGTTTGATTAATGAGAGGAGATAGAGAGAGATCGGGATGAGAGATCGTGGTGAGATTGTGTTTTGATGGTTATGTCGAAGCACACAAAAAATTAGGGATTTAGGAAATCCCCAATTGCTAAAACGCGGGCCGGGTAAATGGGTGGATAGATTGGTTGGGTTTGTAAATATGTTGAACTTTTAGGTTTTATAGTATTTTCAATTTAATTTCGATTTATTATTAATTCATTAAAAAATAAAAACAGAGGTGTCCTATTCCAGATTTTTTTGTGTCCATCTGGTCTATTCCAACTTTTGATCCCTTATATTTTTAGAATCAAAATATCAAACCTAAATCGGAACCGAATTAAAAACACAAATGAATATCCGAATTTCTATAACATAATTTGTACTATAAATATTAATTATATTTAGTATTAAACAATCAAATAATTTTAAAATGTTATATAAAACCGAAATAACCTTTGAATTATGTAAAATTTTATCCGAAAACTCGAAATATGTGATATTTAATTCGGAAACCCAATTTTTTAATTTCAATATGAATTAACTGAAGACCAGATCGAAGCAGAACCAAATGAAATTCAAAATTACCTTAATATTAGCCGGTTTTCATCGTTGTTACCTGACCGAACCAAATTTTCTGAATACCCAAATGGATCCTAAACCTCTACGAATGAAACGAAACCGAATGACCAGTGCTACTTTAATTAGTTGACTAAGTCGATATCCACAATATGCGAAGTCCAGTGAACTGCTTCACTAGACTGGCTTCTGGTTGTCTCGATTGCATACTGATAAACCTATTTTCTATTGAGTTCAGTTATATTTGCATTTGCAAAATTGTCAACATAACAGGCATAAAACATCTGTAAGTTTGTCTTTAGGTATTTGATTCTTCATAACAAAGATGTCAGTAGTCATTTGTGGTTTATTCTTTACTCACCAGTGGCTGTTGGACTTGGATCTTCAGCCACTTTACAATAACACGACAAGCGGAGGAAATTCCAGTGGAGCTATCCAAAGTGAACAACCTTGCGCACTTGTGAAGAAACTTCACAAGATAATACATAGTTTCTTTTGGTAGAAATCAAATTCGTGAATTATGTATTCATTTCCCTCTTTCTAAGAGTTGTGAATCTTTGGATGTTATTTTTGTTATACGGTCTTTCAAAGTTCTAAATCCATGTCTTTCTATGCAACCACTACTTTTGGTAATATTCTGCATGTACACTACAAGTGTAACCATATGTGTAAAGAGAGTGAATGATTTAAAATTTTGAACAAAAAACGCAAACATTTAGAAGGTTTGGAGACTTTACTCTGAAAATAATACAAGCACATAAACAATATTCATGAATCAGTTCCATGAAACATGATCAAGGAGGCGAGGGAAGAGCTTAGCACGTTTAGATTAGAACAACAACGGTGAGAGACAGGTCAATGACCCTTAGAGCAGTGCTGATCCGTAGAAGACAGCTTCTGCAGGACCCGTCATGTAGATATGGTTGTCTTCCTGCCTCCACTCTATCTCCAGTGGTCCGCCCGGCAGATCCACCGTGCATTTCTGTTTCACCATGACCAATAAAAAGCTCGGGGTCAATGTGTGAATATATATAAACCATGAAGTAAATCTCAGCTCATGAATCCAAAAATATTAAGAAAATGCATAACTCTTCACTGATAGATAGAGCAAAAGGAATGCAATGTTCTCCCACAAGGGATCAACTCTTGCCCAAAGATCCGGAAAGGATCTCAACAAGGTGTAGAACCCTTCTCCTCGGCTAAAACTATGGTTAAGAAAACAAAATCCCTCCCCGTTACTTCACATGTGCGAACTGTGAAAGCTTAGTTAAACTCAAATGTGCATACAAAAAGGTGAACCAATCAGTTTATCTAGCACACAACGTCTGTTTCTCTAAATTATCATGATTCATTTCATGTATATATTATATGGAATACTAGGAGCTGCATACTATTGTATAGTCTAAATCTATTATCAAACTGATATCCAAATTTTTTAGTTCTGAAAATCCAAACTTACCCTGTTGGCTCGACCTTCAAGGACTGCTGCAACAACCAGAGCGCAAGCTCCAGTTCCACATGCCAAAGTTGCTCCTGTAGTTTAAACAAGTATGCTTTAGCTTATAAAGAAACATAGAGCGCTGATAAAAAAAAATCAGAGGGATTAGCTGACCTGCTCCGCGCTCCCAGACACGCATTTTCAAATGAGAACGTGACAAGACTTCCACAAACTCTGCAGATAAAAACGCAAAGACAACTTGAGAGATATATATCCAAGATATGATAGAGAGAAATTTGGATAGATCTTAAAATGAATCTCCACTAACCTGTGTTAGTTCGAGCTGGAAACATTTCATGATGCTCAAACTTTGGACCGATCTCTGGCAAGTTCAAATCATCAACCTTCAGATTCTGGTTGACAGACACAAAGGAACATTACAAACGGTGAGAAATAGAAACTTCATATATCTGAAGAATAATAAGTATAGCAGTGCAAACATCCACGCACCGGTCCACGCTTTGTACCAAATGTGATACAGTGAGGATTGCCCATACTAACACAAGTCACATTCCAGTTCACTCCATCAACAACTAGTTCTGCCTGAATAACAGCTTCACCTTTGGTCCCAGGCAACTTAGTGGGCACATCTTGTGCTTTGAGAATCGGTATGCCCATGTCAACCTTAACCTGTTCAATCACAATGCATTAAACAACTTGCAAAAAAAAAACACATGATCATGAAGGATATACACATAATAAGAGACATCGATCTGAATGACTAACTTGTCCGTCATCTTGAATCTCTGGAACAATCAGGCCAGCTCCCGTATGTATTGTAAAACTTACCCAAAACAAAAACAAAAAGGACATCAAACATTATAGCAAGCAAGCATGAGTAGTTTTCAGAACTTGTTCTCTGCAATACAATACCTATGTTTCCCTTGCAAGTTCTCAAGCTCAGCAATGAACCTTGCAAAGCATCGAATTCCATTACCACACATCTACAAGACACAAAACCAAAAGCCGTTGACTTTTAAACACAACAAGAACTCTCACTCAAAACATATCAAAAAGCCCCAACCTCTGGTTCACTTCCATCTGAATTAAATATCCTCATGGAGTAATCTGTGCCATTGACTCCCGGCATTGCAAAAATCACTCCATCAGCACCAACACCGAAGTTTCTATCGCAGAGCTTCGCCGCCTGGTCTTGAGTGATCTTAGGTTCCGATGAGTCTCTGTTATCCACCTGACAAAAGAAGAAAAGTTTCGATGTTTTGAAATAATGTTTTAATGTTTTGACGGAAACTAAAGATTGTTTACCAGAATGAAGTCGTTGCCGAGACCATGATACTTCACGAAATGGACAACTTTTTTCGATTCTCTCTTGTCGAGAAAACTCGCCGGAGATATTTTCTCGGCAGTGAGGGAGGCGTCCATTGAGGAGGTCGCAGACACGCGAAGCCTAGCGCTCACAACGCGATGTTCTCTCTCGCTGGAACGGAATGGAAGAGAAGAGACGGAACAAAGCTTCTTGGAGAAGGTGTTTGACAGTAGTAGGCGCGTTTGCAGCGCGACGGAGACGGTGTTAGTGGCGGCTATCTCCATTGTTTCTTGCTTCTGACTTTTTTTTCTTTTCTCTGTTCTATATTGATGATGGACATAGAAGAAACATTGTGCCGTTCTTGTGTTTGATAATTAAACTTCGTGTTGTTTTTCTTCGGGACGTAATAAACATTATGTCGTCTTGTAGTAAACAGATAGGCCTCTAATTAAAAACAGGAAAATGGCCTATTCCTACCCGAACAATTTCAATCGTGCCAAATACAACCCGAACAAACATCCAATGCCAAATACGACCTGAACTACGTTATAATATATTAATAAGAATCAAAAATAATAATAAGCAAAGTTTTAATTAGAGAAGATGAAAAAGTAAAAAAATTGCTTTCGTCTAGTGGTTGATATGTCTGTTTTAAATAGTGGCAAGGCCCTAGTTCGAATCCCGAAATGTTCATATTTTTAAAAAAATAATGAAATCGAAACGACATCGTTTTATCATTTAACGGTTGACTAACTTCTGTTACGGTCAATGTAGGTTTAGGCACATTTTAAAAAGTTCAGGTAGTATTTTTGAATTATAATGTAGTTCAGGTCGTATTTGGCATTGGATGTTTATTCGGGTTGTATTTGGCACGATTGAAATTGTTTGGGTAGGAATAGACCCGACGTCGGTTTATCATTTTAACGGTTGACTAACTTCTGTTACGGTCAATGTAGGCTTATGCACGTTTTAAAAAGTTCAGGTAGTATTTTTGCATTATAACGTAGTTCAGCTCGTATTTGGCACTGGATGTTTGTTCGGGTTGTATTTGACACGATTGAAATTGTTCGGGTAGGAATAGGCCATTTTCCCAATAAAAACCCATAAAAGTATCGAGAGACTTTTGCAGAAAACATTGTGCTGTGTTTATGTGTGATAACTAAACTCCGCGTCTTTTTCCCTGGACGTAATAAACTACATGTCGTTCGTTTGTTAACAGATACATGTCGTTCGTAGAAAGCCCCTTTCTCTCTCTCATTCGCCGTCTGCTTCCTCAGGTTCGCTCTGTTCTCTCTCTCTTATAATATCTTTTCAGTCTCTTTCGCTGTCAAATATCTTTTCCTGAGATATTTTTTTTCTCTCCAGTTACAATCAAGTTCTTGCGATTTAATCTCCAGCAGTAATCCAATTCCCGTTTAAAATTCAATCTATTTAGGGTTAGTTTCTTAGCTGCATTACTTTACTTTTCAGTTACGTATTGAGATTGATCCCTCCACTTGATGATTATTAGGGTTTTTCGAATTTCAGATTTAATCTCCTTAATTCGATTCGAATTTATCCTCAATCATCACTTTCCTCTATGTTGATCACAGGATTGTTAGGGTTTTTTTTGATTTCAGCTCATAATAAAACCTTTAATGCTAAGCAGTGTGCATCGTGAGAAAGCTAATTCGATCGCCATGATCTTGGAAACTCGGAGGAATGTTGAATTCCCACATAGGAACGTTGATAAGCGTCCAAGGAAACGGCCGCGACTGGCTTGGGATGTTGCTCCTCCTCCTCTTCCTCCTCCTCCACCTGCCACGGTAACGAATTAGGATCCTCTTGCAATTTGATTTTCTGATCAAGGCCGATACTACTTGGAATTGTGTTAACTACTTAAAGATTTACAGCTAGATGGGGTGTGTGTTTGTTTTGCTTTTAGGTATTTCATCCTCCGTTTTACTATGGTCCGGAGTTTGCTAGTGGAGTAGTTCCCGGTTTTATGTACCCAAACATGTTTTATAATGGGCCTCCTCCTCCTCAGCCCTCTCCTCCCTGGAGACCTGATGACAAAGACGGCCACTTTTGCTTTGTCGTTGGAGATACTTTGACTCCACGATGTGAGTCTTATCTTACAGACTTTATCTGTTTCACCCACTCTATCATGGAGGTTTACCTTACACTGATATGCCCTCTTCTGTTGTGAATGCAGATCAAATTCTCAGCAAAATGGGTGAAGGTTAGCTTACTTCTTTTTGCTTATACATATGTAGTCACTGTGATTAGTCTATGCTTCCTTATTCTGTTCAGTATGGAGAAGATGAGTAAACTCATCATCCAATGGGTTGTATTAATGAAGGTACATTTGGACAAGTATTGGAATGTTTTGATAATAAAAACAAAGAAGCTGTGGCCATCAAAGTTATAAGGTCCGTACCCAAGTATCGTGAAGCTGCCATGATTGAAATTGATGTGTTGCAAAGGCTTACAAGGCATGATGTTGGCGGTTCTCGGTGAGAATATTTCTTTCCTCTTTGCTAATTCTTGGTTAGTGTTAAGCTTATTGCATTTTGGTATAAGCTCTTCCGTTCATTGCAGTTGTGTGCAAATACGGAATTGGTTTGACTATCGTAATCATATTTGTATTGTAAGTACTGTTACCTTTATTGTTAAGTTTGAGGGGAAATCATGTGTGTGAGGTAAAGAACTTGCGGAATGGGTTTAAATGGTTTCGACAGGTATTTGAGAAGCTTGGACCGAGCTTATATGACTTTCTCCGCAAAAATAGTTACCGTTCATTTCCTATTGATCTTGTTCGGGAGCTTGGCAGACAACTTTTGGAGTCTGTAGCATGTGTGTGGCCTATTCTTCACCCCTTCTTCTATATATAGTAGTCTTCATTAGTGCCATGAATAATTTTATTTTTCAAGAACTTTTTGACACAAGAATTGGGCATTAGTAGTTATTCCTGAATGTTTATCTTTTGATACCCCCAAATTGGTCCGACTGCAATGTTTTATGCTTTTGTTTACCATTTGTACTCAGACTTTGTTCATTCTACTGACAGATATGCACGACTTGCGGCTGATTCACACAGATTTGAAGCCGGAGAATATTCTACTGGTATCGTCTGAATATATCAAAATACCTGATTATAAGGTGAGTAATCAATCATCTCCAAGCTGGAAGCATTAGGTTCATAGCTTTTGAGATATGCAATCCATGAAGGAACTTGTATAACTCAAGCTGATTGATTCTATCTCCTTTGTGGTCATGACAATCTAGTTTCTCTCACGACCAACGAGAGAAGGTTCATACTTCAAGAATCTGCCAAAGTCAAGTGCCATCAAGCTCATTGATTTTGGAAGTACAACCCTTGAACATCAAGACCATAACCATATTGTATCCACAAGGCATTACCGCGCACCAGAAGTAATCCTAGGTAAACTTTTATGCCTTTAACACATCTGTGTAGATATATTATTTTATTTTACATAGCTATCGTATTAAATATTTTGGAACATTATCGCAGGGGTTGGATGGAACTATCCATGTGACATGTGGAGTATTGGTTGCATACTTGTTGAACTTTGTTCGGTGAGTAACTTTCTCTTCTTATGTCTGTCTGCACACCAGGATTTATATCTCAATACATGTTCTCTCTGAATAAATTTTGCAGGGAGAGGCGCTTTTCCAAACGCATGAAAATTTGGAGCATTTGGCGATGATGGAAAGGGTCCTAGGACCATTACCGCCGCATATGGTGCTCAGAGCCGAGTAAGAACAACAAGTTGATCCAGCGGAAATTAAATTGATAACGTTTTAGTTTCTTATATCAAAATCAAAACGGTTCTTGCAGCCGGCGCTCTGAAAGATACTTCAGGCGAGGTGCAAAACTAGATTGGCCTGAAGGTGCTACATCAAGAGACAGCTTAAAAGCAGTATGGAAACTTCCCCGGTTACCGGTAAATAATCTCTAAGTAACTTTGGACTTGACATTGGCTGAGCTGCAGTATTGAAGTTAGCAACACCATTGATTGTTTTCCATTTGTTCAGAACCTGATAATGCAGCATGTGGATCACTCGGCGGGCGATCTGATAGATCTGTTACTAGGGCTGCTGCGATATGATCCAACGGAGAGGCTCAAGGCAAGGGAAGCACTGAACCATCCCTTCTTCACAAGAAGCCGGGAACAGAGTATTCCCTTTAACCCAACCCCTCATCCATTTTTATATAACCACCACAATAACTAAAAAAAGAAACTGCAGATGAATGTTTGCATAAAAATCTGCAGTTTCTGGTTTCCTTATATATTTTCATGTATATTAATGAAAAGAAAGAGAGAAAGCCATGTCCCTTATTGTTTGTTTTTTTTCGTCTGTTGTTGTTTTTGTTTCTTGTGTTCATCTTCCGACCACGACCAAGGTTGTCGTTCCGTGGCGGTTTGAAAAGAGTTGTTACAGTTATTTACACCTACCTCAAAGTCAAATGTGACTGACAGTGTGTTCATCTTGCATATTATGCAGCTTCATGATATCTGGTGATACGACAACGTACTAAGAACTCTTTTTACAAGTTGTACATAAAGATCCAAATCCGACGGAAACCTATATTTTGGGCTGTATGGATCAGTTTGGCGTGCAAAAGGCCCACGAACGACAAAACGGTGTCGTATTGGGTGAAAAGCTTCATCTTCTTCCTCAGCTATCTCTTTACTGCATAGGGTTTTGAAGGGACAAGGTTTATCTCTTAACCACAATCATGGAGTCTCTACGAAGCTTACAGCTCCATCACCAGCCACTCCACCTTTCTTTCACTCACTCATCTTCATCCTTCCTGAAACACCCAACATTTTCCCCTTTCAGACCATTAATCCGACCAAACTCCTCTTTCAAGCACACCCCAATCAAAGCTTCCTCCTCCAAACTTCAAAACCCTATCACCCCTCTCCAAAAGTCAACACCTTTCCGTCTCTTCAAGTCCACATGCATCACTCTAACAACCGCCGCCGCCCTCCTCTTCCTCAACCTCCAGATCAAATCTCCGGCGATTGCAGCTCCCGTCGCACCTCCTCCATCAACAGAAATCACATTGGAAGAAGAAGAGAGAGCCCTCGAACAGCATCTAGCAACACACCCTCCTGATGTAGACTCTCTTCGATCCCTTATGGAGGTAAAGATCAGATCTCGAAAGCTCACAGAAGCCATAGAAGTAGTCGACCGTTTGATAAAACTAGAACCCGAGGAACCAGAATGGCCTGTCCTTAAAGCTAACATCTTTACATACAGTGGAGAGATAGACTCAGCTAAAACTTCATTCGAAGAGATTCTCGCTAAAGACCCTCTTCGTGTCGAAGCTTATCACGGCTTGGTCATGGCTTATTCCGATGCAGGTTTGGACTTGAAAGAGGTGGAGAGTAGGATTGAGGAAGCGATGGTGAGATGCAAAAAGGAGAATAATCACAATGATTTTCGAGATTTTAAGCTTCTTGTGGCACAGATTCGGGTGATTGAAGGGAAGCATGGTGAAGCATTGAAGCTTTATCGAGAGCTTGTGAAAGAGGAGCCAGGGGATTTTAGACCGTATCTTTGTCAAGGAGTTATATACATGTTGTTGAAGAAGAAAGACAAAGCAGAGGTACAGTTTGATAAGTTTAGAGAGCTTGTCCCTGAGAATCACCCTTACAGAGAGTATTTTATGGATAATATGATTGCGTCCAAGCTTTTCTCGGAGAAGACTCAGCGTGAGATGGCTGGATCAGAGAGTTGATTATGTGTGAATCATATTAAGATGAATAATTTTAAGTTTATTTTGATGTTTGTTTAGTTGGTTTTTACCTTTGTATAAGGATCATAAGTTAAACACTTGGATTTGATCCAAAAAAAAATGTTGAACGTTTGGATTTGATTTAGTGATGGATTTGAATCACAAATCTTCTGATCACATGGTCTAGAACTCTAGGAGATGATTACTAGATTAAGTACATCATTGTTCATTAGGTTGAAAAGAAATAAATTACTTGGACAAATTAATTTATTCGACTAATGACGTGCGCACACACACATGGTCTTGATATAAGAGATTAGTCACTCATTTTATTTGGTACTCTCAAATGTTCCAATATTGGAGAAGAGAATTGGACAAATTAATTTATTCGACTAGTGACGTGCGCGCACACACATGGTCTATGATATAAGAAATTAGTCACTCATCATTTGGTACTCTCAAATGTTCCAATGAGTGGAGAAGAGAAGCTGTGATGTAGAAACTCTAGATAGAGATTCTAACTCTTTCATCATTTTCTACTTTTTGAATATATGCATGCGACTGAGATGATACAAGTATTTGGAGAGATATATTGGAACCTCTCAACATGAGGGATGCTTGGATTCAAAGAAATGAAATGGATGCAAAGCAGGATTAACTTAAGGAGTGGAAACAAGTACATAGACTCTCATTGGAGTCGAGTACAAGCAGTGTATTAAAATTTCATTTGGTTATGTTTGTATACTGTTTAGAGTATGCAAACTCACATTCATGGTATATGTTTCAAGGTGTACACAAGTTTGGATTAGATCAAAGGGAATAATACACTTCCAATATACAATAGTACATACTTAAACTCACTTTTTATTTTATAACTAGTATTTTGGGCATTGCCATTTCGATTTAAAAAATTCGTAAATGATTTTTAATATTATACAAACTAAACAATATTTAGTTTTAAGTTAAAAGTTAGTAATTCAATATTTTTTTAAGTTAAAGGTTAGTTTTTCATTTTATCAAATTAAACAATTATTTTTGACAAATATATGTGCTACAATTTAGTTATTTATTACTATAAGAAAATATTATTTTATTATTTTTATTTTATGAAAAATATTATTCTTAAATTAATATTTATATTATTTTTTTCATGTTTTATTAAATCCATTTATAATTAAATAAATCAACCAAAATAGATATGATTTTAATATGGTAACTATTTTAATAAACTATCTGTAACGACCCGATTTTCTCATACCAAATTTTAAATGGGTTAAATTATTTTGGTGCTCTTGACCGGTTTGGTTTGCCCCACTGATTAATTATTAGTACTAAAACAAAGCCATAGCCTTCTTATATTATCCGTATACGTGTATGCAATTTTACCTAATTATTTAATGGAATCACCTTCTCTACTTCTATTTGGAAGCCGCCTATATGTGCGACGTGAAACCTCAATTGCACCATCTTGCTCTCTCCTTATTTCAGTTGCTTCTCTTCTTCTCTTTAATCATTTTTCATGAGCTCGTGCTTTTGCCATCGGAGAAGACGTGAGCTACCACCATCGACGCCACGAGCCCATGTTCTTCACCGGAGAGGAAGCCATTGTCACCGGAGGACCATGTTAGCTTCACCGGAGTAGCAGCCCCTGCCATCACATGCCTCGTTATGTACCATCCCGTCCATGGCGTAGATGTTCGTATAGGATCCGTGAGGTGGAGAACATGAGCGAGAGAAAGAGAAGACGTACGATCCGAAGCCACCGCGTGTTGACACCACCGCTCTTAGGTTGTTTTCTTATTTTAAATTATACTTGGTTCACAAATAAAATCTAAGACAGATAATCCATTTGAAATAGAGAAGCATGATCACTTGTATGCAGATAAATTAATTGCAAGATAAACCAACGTCTTTCTTACGTGCAGTTGTACAAAGTTGTAGAAATATTTCTAGATCCTAATATATACATAAAATGAAGGTTAGCTTAAGCATCAAAACTGATATGGATGCGGCTATATTTCTTAGAGGTGGCATCGACACATGGATATATGATCGCCATATTCTAGGTTGGTGATTTTTACTATCTCTGTCATTTGTTGTATATATCAATATTAGGATTATCGCTAAGGTTTTGCGTTAGGTTATTTTCTGATGGTAAATTTTAACTTGATGCAGAAATAAAATCTAAGATACATAATCCATTTGAAATAGAGAAGCATGATCACTTGTATGCAATCAAATTAACCCAAGATAAACCAAATTCATTGTTAAAAACAAGAAATAATTACCCTAGGAGACACATCTTCAGTTGTCAATATCATTAATAGACACAAAGCACATATAACACACTTTATGCTTGTTAAAAGACCACGATAACCTTCAATTCATATATTTTTTCTTTTTCACATTTTCTATCGTTAGCTCAACTAAACCCAATTTATTATTATTTTTATTTTATTTTTAAAAATATCTTATCCTTCATTTTTTTAAAGCAAATTAGAATTATCTCATACCTACATTCAACAAGTAATCCTAAATCCCTTTTTCTCTGGATCTAGAAATTGAATTGTGGAAACAAACCTTAATCTTATCTTCTCCCTTTCCATATTTTATCTTCTCCCTTTTGACATCTTCTTATCGACTCTCTTCCCTCATCTTCTCCATTTTGATTCTCAGTATTATCGGTGTTATCTATCGCCGCACATCATCAATATCCAACATGAAAGGTTAGATTTCAACTACAAAAGAGATGACTCTAGTATAATTGGTTCTGTCGGTCGAAACCCTAACTCTCTGCATCTTGTTTTTAATTTTGCAGAGAACGAAGACGTCTCCCGAGAAGCTCTTCACAACTCTTCTGACCACCAAACACCTGACCACAATTCCCTTGACCACAACTCTACTGATGACCATATATCAACTGACCATATATCAACTGACCATATATCTTGGTGTCTAGACAAACATGGCGCCTTATCCATACCGAGTGATTTTGGAAGGTTTTGCTCCTTTGAAGGTGTGATAGAGTTCATTGGGCTTTCATGGGGTGGTCAGATTGGCTCTAATATCATACTTTCTTTTGCCTCCCTGATGTTCACGAATCTTTCTCCACAAATTTTTGTCCACACAAACATAACGTGACGACAATTATGGTGAGGAAGTTGTTTTCTATGTCATTGTCTTTGCCATGGATGATTTCAAGAGTTGTATTAAGAAAAGAGTGGAGACATGATGGGTGACTAAACAAAACAAAGTATTTCCTATCACAGCGATGGTTTGTGCCAATGCTACAATTCTCCTGACCACAATTCCTCTAACCACAACTTAACCGACCATAACTCACCTAACCACAAATCTCCCACCAACAATTCTTCTGACCACAACTTCCCTAATCATAACTTGCCAAACCCCAGCTCCCCACCTCCATACAACTCCCCTAACCACATCAAACCTAGCCACATAGAGCCTAACCACATCTAGCATGTTCACCACTATTGTTTCCTTCCTCGATAAACACTAGTATGTCCGTAGTTATTAGATCTTTTACTTTTTATCAGATTCAACGACCAAAAACTAATTCCTTTATTCTATATATCTATTTTTTAAGTTACACATTTTATTATTAATTGCAACTGAACTCAAATTTAGTTACAATTCTCTCATCTTAAAGTTGCTTCTTCTTTAAACAAAAGATAGGGTTAATTATGTCCAAACAAAATACAGCTGTCAATAAAATGTAGAAAAATGTGTGCCATTTGAGAATGTGTCTCTCAAGAAAAACCAAAATCATAAAGTGTCCTTTAACTCTCTCTAAAAACAGTTGTACAAAGTTGCAGAGATATTTATAGATCCTAATATACACATAAAATCAAGTTAAGCTAAAGCATCAATGTGATTGACATGTGTTTTACTGCCGTTGATGCACACATCTGAAGATGTCTTTCACACATGTACCTGAAAATAGTAGTGAACATATGTTACATATCAGAGAGTTCACAAAGAAATTTTATGACTATATTTACGTAGTTACTACCTGAGAATTCATCATTCTTGTCTGAAATTCTAAAATATTTCTTTAAAAGCAACATTTGTTGTTTTTTTTTTTATCACTTGCCTTCTTCATCAATGATTAGGATCTTCAAACCTTCTCTACTTTTGGCTCTTGAGACAACAACATATAACTGACCATGTGGAAAAACTGGTTTTGGTAAGTAGATCCCTACATGAGATAAAATCTGACCTTGACTCTTATTAATTGTCATTCCGAAGCACAGAGAAATTGGAAATTGTCTTCGCTGAAACTGAAATGGAAACCTAGCATTGGTAGGTGTAAGGGACATTCTTGGCAGATATATCTTATCCCCCACATAATTACCAGTAATGACTTTTGCTTCAATGATGTGAGCTCCAAGTTGTGTTACTTGCAATCTTGTTCCATTGACCAAACCACATTTCTGGTCAAGGTTTCTTAGAAGCATAACTGGAACCCCTTTCTTTAGCTTCAGAACATGGTTTGGCACTCCTGCACACTGAATCAAGTTTAAGAAGTCAACTGTGACATCTTTATCTCTTTCATCACTGAAATCTGATTCACAGATTTTATCAGAGCTATAATATGTCTATAAATTTCCAGGAAGCAGATCCATGATGTGATTGTTGACCTCATTGACAACATCATTTGTGGGACATAATATAGCACGGTCTTTGAAAAAAGACTCATCCTCCATATGCTCTATCAGTGACGGATATGTGGCATTAGTGATTGACGTGATTGGATCAAGTGAATCCATGAGCAGCATGTCATTTGGTATATCAATCACTGCTTCACCATCACTGGGTTCAGATAACTTCCCATAGCCTAATTTTAGAATCCATTCGGAGAATTCTTTGATAGATTCAGCTTCTGCTGGGTCTGAATCAACAGTTAGCCGTATATTCTTTGTTAAACTAAGCACCTTGCAAGATTTCCACAGCACATAAAAAGTGAGAGAAGCTTGCAAATT